CTGATCAGTGCATTTCTTTTGCTCCCACACCTCTCTGGTGACATCCTCTACTCCACTTATCCATCATATTTCCCCACTGGCCATCTGTTACAGTTTGCCCACTCTCGTCACACGCTTTCCCATAGCCCTCTGGCTGGTTCTCATTTTTCATCCTTCAGACACCGAAGCATCCTAAGTGAGTGACTTGAAGATTAACTGTCATCTACTCGCTAACTCTCGGTGTCCTATGGATCACTCGCAACTTGGATTCTTTAGGGATTTTGATTAGCCAAGATTCACAATTTGACAACATTGCTAGAAGGATATTAATGCTTAAAAGCCAGGCTTTGGTGCTGGGGAAAAGTTAGGGTCATTAGAGAGGCAGCTAGGGACTGAAGTGGACAGAGCATGGGACCTGGACTCAGGAAGACATATGAGTTCAAATCCTGCCTCAACAGCTTGCTGCCTGTGTAACCCTGATCAAGTCACTTAACCTCTGTCTACCTCAGTTTCTTCAACTGATAAATAGGGACAATAATAGCATCTATCTCCCAGGGCTGCTGTGAAAATCAAACGAGTGCTTTGCAAATCTCAAGGTGCTATCTAAATTCAAGATGATGATGATGATAGCACTGTGTAAAGAAAATGTTCAGTGGAATCTAGTCCACTCTCTTCCTCCTACTCAACTGTGGGCCCAATCCTGGTCCATCTGCGTTGCCTGTTCCAGACTTGCGTGTTTCTGTGCTAATTCAATGCACCCTCCTCCCATCTTGGGCATGGACAAGATATACATATATCTATAGCTATAGCTACATATGTATATCAGATCTATCAATATATAGAAATATATGTGTATATCTATCAATAGATATAAATAAATATGTATATACATGTCTACCAGTAGATAGATATATGTATATATGTAGCAATTGAAAAATAGATATACATTTATATCTCTATCTATCTATCTATCTATCTATCTATCTATCTATCTATCTATCTACCTACCTATCTGTATCCCTTCCACCTCAAAACTCTGAGATCTTATAATCCTGTGATTGAACAATGAGGAAGTAGGCAGGTCAAGAATTAATAGCCCCATTTTACAGGTGAATAAACTGAGGCCCAGAGCAGCTGCGGCTTGCCCAGTGCACCTAATCTGCTACAAATTTTGCTTCTGAGCCTGATGACCAGAACTACACTGTTCTGCTTAGATCATCATCTCTCTTTGCTGATAACATCTTTTAGTCCATTGTAGGGACCCAACAGGTAATATAATAAGCCAAGCAGATGCAGTCAGCATGCAACAAATATTTGTCAAGTTGAATTGCGCCTAATCTTATTCATACTCTGTTGGCTATAGCTTTCCCTTCGAAACACAAATTCTACCTCAATCTTACACGAGGAGAAGTTTGAGAGGAAGCAACCATGCTGTTAAGGAAGGGACTATTTCCATGATATCCTACAGACAGGAGGTGAGGATAGGCAGGCAGAGAGAATGGAAAAAGGTTTCCCCACTTTCCCTCCTGAGAGGGTCCTGAATTTCTTTTTTTTTGGAAAGGAAATGATCAAAGGATCCGCCACAACCAGCTGCAGAAATGCATGGTGAAGCCAAAGAAAATGAGTCTGGAATGGAATCTGCTTCTTGGGATTCTCCACGCCTCCGCTCCACCCTCCTAATCCCCAATTAGTGCGCATCATCCCATGTTGGCTGCGAGCGTATGAGAGGATTTTGCCCCATAGAGTTCTGCAGAAATCACTTCATTATAATGAGTTCTGAAGCTATAAAACTCAACTGGCAACCTTGGTTTTTAAGATAACTGGAAAACGTAGCTCAGCGGGGGTGAACAAAGGCTCTGTTTATTAGCAAAGCGGCCACAGCCAGTTGGAGGGCTGTCTGGGTTTTTTTTTTTTTTTAACCTCACATTTTTAATCTTTTCTGCCTTTCTTCCCTGTTTGGAAGAGTCATGTACTAAAAGTGCTGAGATAAAGTAATAGGAAGAAGGATGCCACCATAGGTATGGGAGAGAGCAGAAGTAATTTACAACATGTCTGGTTTGTTTTACTTTCAAAGCCTTCCGGTTGCTCCAGGAAATTTGTCTCTTCTGGCAGCCTTCCTCCTGACTTTGGCCTGGAGAGCTCCCCCATAATTCCATGGGCCCAGGTAAACAGGAGTGAGACTCCAGGAAGGTGGGAAGAATACAGGATCTACTCAGCATGTCCCATTGGGTCTAGATGCAAAGGAACACCTCAGTGCTTACTTGTGAAAATTACCCCAACCTAAGGAAACTAAAAAAAGTGCTGACATTCCTCGTAGATAGACCCTCCCCTCCTAAGACTATTTCTAGAGGTAATTTATGTGAGCGAACTGCTAAAAGCCTCCTGCTCAATTAACTGTCCTCCCGGGAACAGATTCAGAGAATTGTGGGAACAACAGAAAGGTGTTCCTAGTGCCAAAGAGGGGATATGGCCTGATGGAAACTGCCCAGGCCGGACCATCTGGCAGCCGAAATCAACCATCTCAAAGAGCTGGCGGAAGTTAATGACACCAAATTCACCATTACCATGCGTGACATCCTTGGGTTAGGTTTTAAAGGCCCCTCAGGCATGGTTTCAATTATGACTTTCCATTCAGAATATGGTCAAATGGAAATTTCTCCTCCTCCTCCCCCAATCCTGATTTCCATAACTGAAATTAAAATGAAAAGATGAGATTGGAAGGGTAGGGGCCGGGCCCATCAGATTGTAGGACCATAGATCCAGACCTGGAAAGGACCTCCGAGAACGCTTGAGTCCCACCTCCTCCTTACAGGGAGGGTTTACCCTTTGGGCATCTCTCCTGGAACATGGGGCCACACTAAGCTGGGGAGTGTCTAAGGCCGGATCTGAAGTCAGATCTCCTTGGCCCCAAGCCTGGCACTCTATCCACTGTACCACCTAGCTGCCCAGGACATGTCAGGAACTTAATCAAAGCTAAATGACTGATTAGTTGGTCAGCACCAAAGAAGGTTCATCACCATCATCACCATCATCACCACAAATAATAACAGCTAATAGTAATCACAATTGCTAGTATTTAAGTAGTGGCTTAGGGTCTACAAAGAACTTCACACAAGTTATTTCTTTTGATTGTCACAACAACCCTGGGAGATAGGTGCTATAATTATCCCCATTTTACAGATGAGGAAACTGAGGCACAGACAGATGAGGAGACATGCTAGATTTGAACCCAGGTCTTTCTGACTCCAAGTGAAGCACTGTTTCCACTGAGCCCCTCTGAGCTGCCTGGTTATCACAATTATGACAATGTAGATGTATTTATCACCTTTAACAAGAAGTATGCATGCACTTGTGAAAGGGCAAATCCATATCTTTATTTCACTGAAGGAAAGAATGGATACAATTGCCTGTCAGCCTTGCCAAAGAGATCCAAAGTCATCTTTTGGCCTATGACAGTTTTTCAGTAGCCTATAAAATTTTCATTAGCACTTAGCAAAGGTCATAGAGAAGACAGAGTCAATGTCATTGGTAGTTTGAAGGAGGAAAGTGCTAATGCCTTTCTGCAAGTTCTACTCATATTTCCAAGCTCATAGATCATTGCTTCTTTCAGATAAGGCTAAGTTGGTTTCAGCTAGAGACCTGTGGCCCAGTGCTGACCTGCATGGTGGGCATCCACTACGGACTGGTCTGGTCAAATGTATGACCTTGGTGAAGTGGGTAGAGCTGGAGAGCAGAGGTGAATCAAGACCCCATGCCCTCAGCTATGGTTAATCACTTTTGCAAATGCCATAAAATGCATAGAAGGGAAGAAGGCTAGATATCAGACAAGTTCTCTCATTTGGCCAACTGTCTGCTAAGTTAAAATTCATAGATGGCACAAAAAGTTTGGACCACCTTGCTGTCACCATGACTGCAGAAGCAAAAGCGGGGCACCTAGGATGGGGAATGATCTGGTTTGGTTCTTTGTTTTATTCACTACCCTGGTTACAGAGTTCACTGCCAAGTAGCCATCCTCCCAGCGATGAGCCTCTCCATACATAGGCTGGCCCTCGAAAAACAGATTCAGCCTTTTGCTGGGACCACTATTGAATTCTTTACAATAGAAGCATGTAAGCTCCTTGAGGGCAAGTACCATCTCTCGTCTTTGTCTTTACATCCTCAGTATGTAGAGTAGAGCCAGATACATTATAAGCACTTAATAAATGCTTGAGGAATTGAACTGAATTAAATTACAGTGCGGTGGAAGATATTTGTATAGCAGGCATCCTAGCATAGTCAAGAAAGAGCTGGCTTTAATATTAGGGAGACGGGTTCAAATCCCACCTTGCTATGTACCAGGTGTGCATTCTTGAGCAAGTCACTTACACTTCAGCACCCCAGGTGACTCCACCCCTAAAAGCTGCAGAGCAATGGTCAGTTAGCACTGGCTGAGGGAGTTTCCTCTCTGAGAATTCCAAACTATGATAAACCCATGGGTTCAGACCAAGACACACAGAAAACCACAATTTCACCAATAATTAAGCCAAAGATTTGGAAGACCATAATGTTCAAGAAATGGTTAAAAAAGGGGCAGGAGGAGTCCTATTTTCCAAGAATCCAAGCTACGCCTTCCAGTCCAAAGGGCTCATTCTTCCTTCCAACTCCTGATGGAAAATCAGGCCATCGAGACCATCAAGAAACCACATTGGTTACACCTTAAGGAGCTAGTAAGCAGAACAGCAGGACACTGGGCAGTGAAGACAGGTAAGCCTTGAATGCCACGCCATTAACTCTGTTGGGCTCTAGGACTTAAGCTGAGCTGTGGTGTCCCACAACTGGGTTGCCATGTTTTTAAAGGGAAGGTTTGCTCTCCAAGCATCCTGCCTTGGCTTTCCCCAACAGAACCCCAGATGGATAATGAGTGCCACAGGAATAGGAAGTGACCACAGTGCCATTTTCCTACCATGATACTCTCCCTCAGGTCTCCCTCCCAAGCACAGCCCAAACTCAAGGCTGCAGTGCCAGCTTCTGGCCACCTTTACCTGGCTCTACTTCATGCCATCCGCTTGACTGGCTGCCACTGCCTGGGGAACGTCCTTGGCTTGTATAAAAGGGCTCTTCACCAGGACTGTCCATTTCATCCTCCACAGATTTGAGGCGCTTTGTCGAGCTAGAAGAGTGAAGTGAGACATTTCAGAATGCAAAGCAATCATCTCTCCCCATTGAAAACCTCATTCCCGGCTTAAAAAGGAGAGATGGGAGGAAATAATTCCTGATCCGCTCATTCAGTCATTCATCAAACATTTTCAAAATATCTACTACGGGCAAAGCCTCATGCAGGGGGCATTAAGAGTAATATATTGACACAATCCTCCACTAGTCAAAGAAGGCTATTAGGGCAATACTAATAAAAGGAGGTGGGAGAGGGTCCTGAAACTCATGAAGCTTCCCATTAGGGGAGAAAAGACAGGCATTCAGTATGCATTTATTAAGTACCGATTACATACCATTCTAAGAAAAGAGGAGGGGGATAGGAGAAAACAATCCCTGCCCTAAAGAAGTTTATATTGGGGGAAGGGGGTGCTGACAGCAAGTACTCAGATAAATAAATATAAAGTAACTTTGGGTGGAAAGAGAACTGAAAACAGGCAGCTCTCTGGAGCCCTGAAGAAAGCTACGGTTTCTAACTAGTGGTGAGAAGTGACTCAGGGACAGTACATGCAAAAGCATGGAGGTGGGAGATTGGAGTGTCACGTGTGAAGAACAGCAAAAATGCTATTTTGGCTAGACTATATAGAGTGCATGAAGGGGGTAGAGCAAGCGGGCTGGTGTGGCTGAAATGGAGAAAGCATGACAGAGAAGAATGTGAAATCTGCTGGGAAAGTTAGATTGGAACCAGATTCTTGTGGGCTCTAAATTCAGACTAAGAAGTTTCTATAAATGAGATCAATCAATCAATCAACAGCCAATAAGTATTTATTAAATGCCTAGTATTTGGAAGACGCTGTTCTAGAATGACAGAAATATAGAGACACAAATGAAAGTCCCTGCCTTCACGGACGCTATATGATGAGGCATAAGAGATACGAAGGAAATAAGATATTTATTAAATGCCCGTTGTATGCAGAGGCAATGGAAGAAATACAAAGTTTAGATAAACATGGGCCCCTGCCCTCTTGAAATGAACAGATTAGTGGGGAGATAAGATGACATCATCAATAATACACAATATTACATGACATGTCAATCAGAGAACTGTTCAAACCAAGCCCTAAGGCATATTTGTAAAAGGCCTTAGTATAGTGCCTGGTACACGGTAGGCACTTAATCATTGCTCATTTCCTTTCCTTTCCTTCCCACATGAAGTTTGAAGGGGAAGGGAAGGTTAGGGATATTTCCATGTTGGGAAGTATCATTGAGAGAAGACTTAATCAGAGGATTCTTAGACCATATTAAATCTCAGTGATTCACAGTATTGATAGAGAAACATGGATGTTTCATAAATTAGGGCAAGGGGTTGGTTAGTATGCCATGGAAAGGCCAAAGATTCTGACAAGGGGATGTGGGAGAGAGGCAAAGATAGGTTTTACCTAAGTCACAAATGTCCCAAGTAAAATTAACTCGGCCAACACTTAATCAGGACCAATGCTGATTGTGACTGGCTTTTTCCTGCATTTTAAAGGACAGGCAATATGGCACACACCCTGTTGCAGGCCCTACCCAAAACCCTAATGATTAAAATACCCATTAAAATAATGGCATAGAGTAGAGTTGCTATCTCTAGAGAAATGGTTCCATGGTATATCATACAAAGCATAACATCAAAGACCTCAGGCTGAAGGTAACCATGGGGCCTTGAAGACAATGTCAGGGAAACATGAGCTTTGGAAGGCTTGGCCCCACTGGAACAGTTCAAGGATAGGCCTGGTGACATTTAATTTCCTTTACAATTAGGTTCCAGTCTGTCTTTCCAGACTGGTTTCACATAACTCTCCTTCAGGAGCTCTGCCTTTCAGCCAAAATGCCCCATATTCCATTTACCACCTCTGAGCATTTGCCTAGGCTGTGCCTGGGATACACTCCTTCCTCATTGCTGCCTCTTGGAATTTTCCATTTGCCTCAAAGTTCAGATCAAGGGCCATGCCCTACAGGATGCCTTTTCTAATCTTACTGGTCTAAGATCCAGTGACGTTGGCCTTGTTGTCCTTCATCCCATGACACTCCTGACTGTATTATCACTGACTATCTGTGCCTAGGATGCTATTTCATCTCAAGCCCCACCTTCTGCGGGAAGCCTTTCCCAATTCCCTTGAACATTAGCACCTTCCCTCTGAGATATGCCCAATTTATCTTGTATAATTTGTACATGGTTGCTTGATGTCATCTTTCCCATTACACCTTGAGCACCTTGGTGGCAGGGGCAGTTTTTCCCTTTCTTACATTTCCAGGGCTTAGCATGGAGCCTGGCACACAGTAAGGGTTCAATGAGTGTTGTGTTTACTTATATGAGTACATGGCACTTCCCGCAATATAATGTGAGTTATTTGAAAGTAAATATTTTCATTTTTATCTTTGCATCCCCAGTACATATCATAGTGCCTGGCACATAGTAGGTCCCAAATGAATGTTTGTTGATGTGGACCTAGGTCAGGAGAGTGCTTTTTCTCTCCAATACACTGTAAAATATGATGGCAATTAAATCCAAAGGTTCCCCAACTATTGCTCTTGATGCTACTGACATCTAAATAGCACTTTCAGGGTCTGCAAAGAGCTTTCCAGACATTATCTCCTTGGAGCGTCCTCACAACCTTGTGAAGCAGGCTAAAGGAATAGTTCTTTCCATTTCACAGATGAGGAAATGGAATCTGAGGGAACTCCAGCGATTTGTCCAGCCTCGCATATCTGGCAGGGGATTGGAACCCAAATCTTCCTGACTTCAAGTCCAACATTCAAAGGGTTATGGAATCAAAGGTTTTGAGGTCATGAGAGAGGCCATCCAGTCCAATGCCCTTCATTTACAGCTGAGGAAACTGAGGCCTGGAGAATACAAGTGACTTGAGCAAGGCCACACAGAGAGAGGCAAGATTTGAACCCAGGTCCTCTGGGTACAAATTCCACACACTTTCCACACTACCTCTCTTCTGTATTACTCTGTGAAAGGACTTTTGTTTGGGGCAGGGGAGACAAGGGTGAAAAATGTTTCAGTTCCTGTCCTCAAAAAGCTTATAGTCAACTACAGGGCAAGGGCTGTATTTCATCATTTCCCTCTGTTCCACAGCAGTCTGGACAACAGCATCAGAGGCATGAATTAAGTGACTGATGGGTGACCCTTTCTCCACAAAACTCAGCTATTCTGGGCACTGATAATGCTGCTGACTTTATGTAAAGACTTTTTTTTTTTTGGAGCCCAGCTAGAAGAGGCTAATGAGAGAAGAACAAACATATTACTGAGTTATTAACTAAGGAGGCTGGTTATAATTAGCTCCTTATCAGGGTTAGCTATTTGCAGAACACAAGGACAGTGATCGGGCCTCTAAGTGACATTAATAACCTGCCTTTCTGCTCCTTAAGCCAAAACAGAAGACAACAGGGCAGAGATGGGGCCTCGTCCTTGGATGTGAGCGCCACATATGCCAAACACATATGAAAAACAAAGAGCGTGATCGCTTCCAGCTGACGACTTGTGTGCATCTAACAAACTCACGTCTGCCGAGCTTCCCTCCCGTCAGAGAGCGCTCACCGTCCTCAAGCTTACGGCCAAATGAACACATTCACCATCTCGTTATTGCGATAGGGGACAACAAAAATACAACAGACCCACCCCCAGCCCCCCGTCCCCGAAACATTGAATTTGACCTGTGCTTTCGGGCAGTTTGTTTGTTCTGGATAACTGGCATTTTCAATAGCTGAGAATGCGAGGCATCAGCTGGGGAGGCAGGTGTCATCACGCTCAACCTTCCCTCTTCCCTTCTCCAGTAAGATGGAAATCTACAAGGGCAGCAGAACGGAGGGGACGCTTGGCTGTCAATTTCACTTCGGACATTGGCCCCAGAGGTGATTAGGCAAAATAAAAAAAAAAAAACATGGGCTCGTGAATGGCAAAAAATATGCAAAAGACAAGGTAAGGAACAGGATTCACCTCGGGTACGGAAACAGTCCTGTGAGTCGCTATTCCCCCGAACCAGGTTGTTGAGAATTTAAAACTTTAGAGCCTCATCTTGGAAGGAGGAAACCTCTGCCCTGATTTTTTAGGGTTTACAGAAATATAACCATATACAGTTTTATAGGAAAACCCGTTTAAAGGCAGAGACCTTTGGCCCTTCCGTTTTTGTATCCCCAGTGCCAAAAAAGCATATATTAAATAAATGATTGTTGAAGTGAAATAAGCGGATGTCAAATTTCTTTCCGTGTGGTCACCTCCTCCACACGTTGTCACAGCCAATGTTCCAGTTTATTTGGAAAATAATATTATCGTTGGTTTATTCTTGAGATAGAGTTGCCTAGAGTGGATAGAGTGCCTGGCTTGGATCAGGAAGACCTGTGTTCAAGCCCTTTCCCTGAGCTGACTGGCTATTTGACCTAGGGCTAGGAATTTAACCTCTCTGTGCTTCAGACAATCAATATATCTCGGAATGAGATGATATCAAAGATTTTGATTTATTTTCCTGCAAAAATCCCCCTCTCCCACTGTTTCCTTTTTAATTTTAGCTGCATTGGTTTTGTTTGTGCAAAAACGATCTACTTTTATGTAATCAGAGGAACTGGGTTCAAATTCCACCTCTGACGCTTATAACTTGTGTGACCATTAGCAAGCTACTTCAGTTTCCTCATCTGCAAATTTAACAGATTAGACTAGATGGCCTCGAAGGTCCCTTCCACTTTAGATCTATGAATGACTCACAGCCAAGGGATGGAAGGGGTTCTTATTCTAGAATTTCCCCATTTCCATGAGGATTAAATCCCAGATCTTTCATTTGTTTGTTCTACCTCGTTTCTTTGCATCTGATGCAGACTATCTAGAGGCAACACACTGACCTCAACACTCCTAAGAAGTCTGATTTTATCCATCCTGGTCCTTCCCACACCAATGCAAACTGGTACAAACCCCACAACTTGGTTGAGGGTCTTTGAATTCTCTCTCTCTCTCTCTGTCTGTCTCTCTCTCTCCTTCTCTTTTTTTGCTTTATCCTTCCCTGGTTTAGGCATCACAAATTGAGTTTATTAGCACATTTACTTTTTCCATATTTGAGAATAATTTGCGTAGTATTGATATTTCTTGTTCTTTAAAAGTTTGATAGAATTCTCCTGTAAATCTGTCTGGATCAGGACCATTTCTACCCCCCATTTTGTGATTCCTATATATCTGGTTCAATTTCTGTTTTTGTATTTGGATGAAGTTCTCTATCTGTTAGTCTGCTTATTTCGATATTTTTGTAGATGATCTTTTATTTTTAAAAAATTCCTTTTTCCTTGTGTATAACTATGTATAGTAGGTTCTGATAGTTTCTTTGCTGTGTATATTTTACCATGTTCATATAAAAAATTTTAAAATCTGATTTTACTCCATCTTCTTTTTACTCAGGTTGGCTAAAGGCTTATTGACCTTATTAATCTTTAGAAACTCCCCCAGCTTTTAGTGTTGTTTATCAGTTCTATGTCTTTTTTGTTTTCAATTTCTTTATTTCTCCTCTAGTTTTCAAGATTTCTTCTGTGTGGGACTTAGGTTTATTTGTTGGTTTTTAATGTTTTAATTGCATATCCAGTTCATTAGTTCCCTATTTTCTATTTTGTTAATGTATGTTGTAAGGGCTATAATTTTTCCTCTCAAGATTGTTTTACATGCGTTCCAGAAATTCTATTATTTTTTGTCTTATCACAGAGTTATTAATTGTCTCTGTGCTTTATTCTTTACCCCATTCGTTATTCAAAATATTTTTGTCAAGTTTCCACATGGGACTAAAATATTTTATTTGTGTTCTCTGTATGAATTGCTACTTTTATCGCATTGCGGTTTTTATAAGACACTTTAATATTTCATTTTTTATATTTATTTATAATTCATGCCTTTCACACATGATCTATTTTTATAAAAGTATTGCGTACTGTTGAGAAGTATGTATATTACTTAATGTTACTCTTCAAAAGACAGCGAATTCTCCAGCAGTTAATTTAGTTCTATATTTTCCCTTTTGTTTATCTAATACATGTGTCCAGATCTAAGGAAGAAACATCAAAGCTCTTACTATTATTCTGTTAACATCCATATATTTTTTTGCAATTCAGTTAACTTTTCCTTTATGAATTTAGATGTTATGACATTTGATGAGTACACATTTAGTAATAAGATTGGTTCACTGCCTATCCTCCTTTAAACATATAAAGCTTCCTCATCTCTACTGACATTGTAAAATTTTGATTTTGCTTTGTTTGACAGCATGATTGGAACTCTTGCTTTTTCAGATTTACCTGATGCGCGATTTTTGTTCTGGCCTCTTGTTTTGAGTCTCTGTGTTTGTGTCTGCTTTTTCAATGTTTCTTGTATACAGCAGACTTCTGGGTTGGGTTTGGTTATCCATTCTGCCTTCTGCCTACTGTCTTTCCTTTTACTGGATGACCACGGCTGAAGAAATGTCTCACCCAGAAGTTTATCTGGTGATGAACCTTGTCTGAATACAGACTGGTCTAGCAAAGACAGACAATAGCAGTATACCATTGGGTTTATCCTGGAAGCCTTTCGGCTTTGTAGAACCAGTCAGAACAGATGAATCCCCTGAACATTCTGGGCTCCTTCCATGCCATGGTGATGAGGCATTCTAGGAGGTCCAAGATAAAGGCCATCTTTCTTTGCAAAACACTTAAGTTTAATTGTGTGCTGGTGACCCTCACTAATATACTGATTAGCATTACTTCTTTAATTAAGGCCTTGGATGCTGTGACTCACCATTTGACCTCTTGCTGCTCAACTATTCTCCTCAATTTCCAATACAATCCTATTTAACGATTCTGTGCTCATTTCCATTTTCTTGCTCTTTTTCAAACTGTTCTTGTGGGAAGCCTCTTCCGTGCTCTCTCCTCTCTGGGCCCAGATGGAGCCTCTCCTCTTTCATGACCCCTTCCTTGAATAGCCCAGGTCCAAATGAGTTCTCCCCTCCCCCACAAGCTCCTGGGGCATTTGTATCCTGGAGCCCGGGATTTGCACTTATTAACGTGCTTTCTCAGCACTCGCCTCTGATATTATTTGGGTACCTCTGGGCAGGGTTTTTGGCTCTCTATTCCTCTGCTTCCTCATCTGTCAAATGGGGATAATGATTTTCATAGCACCTACCTCACAGGGCTGTTGTCAGGCTTGAATGAGATAGTGTCTGTCAAGCATTCACCAAACCTCAAAGCACTATACAGGAAGATGTCAGTGATTACTGTGGCTCTCTCCTTTTTGGGGTGGGGGATAATGGCTCCCACTTCTTTTGAGTTCCCCCACCCTCAGTGCTTGGCACAGTCCTGAGCACACAGTAGGCACTATAGAGACACTGGATTAAAACAAAGATGGCTCCTGAACAAGAGGGGCACAGAATGGGCAGGCATGGATGGGTTGTGATCTGCACTGTCGGAGGGACTGCCCACAACAGTGAGGTCACAGAACCGCTGCAGTAGGTGTAAAATCAAGCTATTTAAACATGAAACAATGCCTCCTATACTCTTCACAACAGGAAGTAGCTCACATGCAAGTGGAAACAATGCAATAATAAAAATGATGCTGTGATGATGATGATGAAAGGTGGCATGGGGGAGAGGACAGAGGACCAGCCATAGAGTCAGACGGAACTGGATGCGGGCCCAGCCTCTGACACTTACTGGGTGCATGACTTTGAACAAGGCCCTCAGACTGGAACATGCAGATGACTGGCTGAGCAGTGTCAGGGGAGGGAGCTTCCACACTGGGAGTCCTCGATGCCGATGAAATCAGAAGCCTGGCCCAACATCACAAGCAACAGCTATGATACACAGCCCCCCAGTCCAAGTACCTGGTCGAGGATGTACTGGGTAAAGACCTCCTCATTGCTCCTGGGCTCATGCTGTAGTAGGAAGAACTTTCCAAATCGGAGAGAGAGAAATTGGGGCCAGTTCCTGCAGCTATCGGCGCTAGAAAATCAAAGGAAAAATCCATTAAGTCCTGGGAAGAAACATCAATAGAGACAGCCTAATTTAGCACGGGCTCCCCTATAGCATAACTGAAACAATCAGTTATGGGCTTGGAAGGATGGAGCCTTGGCAGGATGCTAAAGAGACCCTTCTTGAGGATGCCATCTTTTTTTTCTCATGGACTTTTGAATTCCCACTACTGTTCCTAGCATTCCTGGGATGCCTTTCAGAAAACCACAGCTACCTTGGGTCTTCCACACTCCTGGAACAAACCTAACCCCTTTTGGTTCCACAGTTGCCCTTCCTCCTGAGAAAGTAGAAGGATGTGAAAGTTACATACAGCCTTTTAATCTAGAAGATGGAGAAAAAATTGCGAATAAAGACATAAACCGTGGAATGGGGAAGAAGCAGTTAAATATTGATGTATGTTGTGTCCTTATCTGTTTTACTTGTACTATGTCTCTTTCTCTATACATTAGTTCATCAGGTCCTGAGTGTGTTTAAAATACATATTAGTCCTCAAATTTGGCTTCCACCCTTCTTTTCCCCCATATTGTTACCCAGCTACTTATAAAGTTCTGAACTCAATGCAATTCCACAAGCATCTATTAAACACCTCCTCCAACATTCCAGCATAATCTGCACTTACAAAGACAAAAACAGAATTGTTCCTGCCCTCAAGGGGTCTCTACGTACACATGTCAACACATACGTGTGAAGCAAGTAGGAGGGGAGGGCCTGCCAACGAGGGCAAATAGAACACTTGAGTAAAAATGTGAGACAGGCTGAGAAAAGTGAATACAAAATCTATGTAAACAATATAAAGGGCTGTTTTGTTCTGCCTGTGTTTGTTTTCGCAAGGAGGGGGCAATGATCACTGGGGAAACAGCAAAGGTCTTTTGTAGGAAGTGGTACCTGAGCTAAGCCCTTAAGAGAGCTAAGGGTTTCCAGGCAAAACAGTAAGGTGGGAGGGCACTCCAGGCATCGGGGACAGCCCTGTGCAAAGGCATGGGGGGAGGAGATGAAAAGTGATCGATACCAGGAGCAGCAGGTAGGTCAGTCTGGCTGGAAAACACAGCATGCAACCCTTGGCCCTTCCACTCATCTGTTCTCAGGAAGTACCACGGAATCTCACACTTGGCAGGAAATCCAGATATCTTCTCCTTGAATCTCTTTTTAAACTCAACACTATTTATGGTCTTCATCTATTTGCACAACAAATCTCTCAAGCCTGGAAGCTTTCCTTTTCCCCCGGGTTTGAAATCCTTATCTTCCTTCAAGGTGAAACTTCCCTTGGGCATTATCTCCTCATGACATCTTCCCTGATTGCCCCAGTAGGGATGGCTCATTCCCTCCACCAACATCCTTGCACCAACAAGTAATTATGATGAGTAGCTAACATTTACATAACACAACATTTAAGGTTTGTAAAGAGTTTTTCAGATGGTATTTCATTTATTCTCACCAAAAGCCTGGGAGATAGGTACTATAATTATCATTCCCATTTTACAGATGAGGAAACTGAGGTCCAGAGAAGGCCCCATGACTCCCAAGCCCAATTAAGCAGCAGAGTCTGGTTACCTAGGTAACTCCAAGATTAGCATTCTTTCCATTGCACCAAGGATGATGTTCCTGGGTAAAAAGCTCTAAGAGAAACTAACATTTATGGTAGAGAAGATAATGGAGGCAATTGGGTGGTTCAATGGGTACAGCACTAGACTTAGAGTCGGGAAGACCTGAGTTCGAATGTATCCTCAGACACTCACTAGTGTGTGTGGACCCTGGACAAACCATTTAAGCTCTGTTTGGCTCAGCTTCCTTAACTGTAAAATGGGGATGATAATAGCCTCTATCTTACAATGTTGTTGCTAGAACAAAATGAGATCATTTTTGGCAAGTGTCTAGCTCAGTGCCTGGCATACAGCAGGAGCTTAATAAATGCTTGCTTCCTTCTCAGCACCTCCCAGGTTTATTGTGATGATCAAATGAGATAATATTTATAAAGTGTTTTGCAAACCTGAAAGCGCTACAGATTACTGCTTTTATTTTTATTATTATTATTATTACTAAACAAATTCATAAATCAAGACCCTGTTTACACTGAAATAAACTAAATTACTTTTTGTTATATAAAGGTGGGATCAAGAACACCCTGTCTCATTGCAGCCTTGATATATCATAAGTAGATTTCTCAATCAATTAATCAAATGACTAATCATGAAAAGTCCACTGGATGAATTGAAATAATACCAGACAGGAAGTTTATTAAATAACGCAGACAGTAAGTCTATTCTAAGTAGCAGAGGGGCTTTGTTATGGCACCAAGTCTTATATAAAAGCAAGAAGTTAGCAGGAGTCAGAGAGTTAACGGAACATTGGAGCGAGGGTCGTGCTCTAGACAAAAATTCCTGAGAGGAAGAAGGGGGTTTGTATATACATATGCACGTACATGTCAATACACACACAAACATGTACTGCATACATGTGTGTACACAGTCACTTATCGATGTGCATGTATGTGTAAAATATACGTACATGTGTATGTATGAGGGCAGCTAAGTGGCACTGTGGACAGAGTGCCAGTGAGGAGTCAGGAAGACTCATCTTCATGAGTCCAATTCCAGCCTCAGAGTCTTACTAGCTGTGTGACACCGGGCAAGTCACTTTAACCTGCTTGCCTCAGTTTCCTCATTTGTAAAATGAGCTGGAGAAGGAAATGGCAAACCACTCCAGTAACTTTGCCAAGAAAACCCCAAATGGGGCCACAAAGAGATGGATACAACTGAAAAAATTACTGCACAACAAAATTATGTATATACACATATATCTACTATCTATGTGTATATTACCTATACACATAGTATGCTTATATACTGTATTCATATATATATATATATGTGTGTGTGTGTGTGTGTGTGTGTATGTGTGTGTGTGTATACATATATATTCAGTCTTAAATACATTTTTGTGGGGAGGATTATTCAAGCATTTGGGTCCCCATTTGGGTCCCAAATAACTGGCAACCCTGAAAATCTTTAGCAATAATCTTCATGCTTCTTAACTCCCATTTAAAGAAGAGTGAGAACATTCATCAGTGCCCAAGATAGAGTTGATTGCAACCTAGATGCAAGACAGTTAAAATTTTCTACCTTTTCAAATTCATGGACAGACTTAGTTAGACATCTTTGGCTCTAGAGGAAGATGGACCAGGCCTCTGCTTCACTCAGGTTCATAGCTCATGTGTCCCACTAGAGATGTGTCCACGTTTGTTTGTTTTTTTGAGGGACGAGGGGAGGCAACTTTATAATAATGTTGTTGTTCAGTTGTTTTCTTAGTCATATCTGACTCTCTGTGACCCCATTTAGGGTTTTCTTGGCAAAGACTCTAAAGCGGTTTGCTACTTTCTTCTCCACCTCATTTTACAGATGAGGAAACTGAGGCACACAGGGTTAAGTGACTTGCCCAGGGTCACACAGCGAGTGAGGCTGGATTTGAACTCATGAAGATGAGTCTTCCTGGCCCCCTTAATAATAGTTAATTGCACTAATTCACATCTATACAGCTCTCAGTGGTTTTCAAAGCACTCTTTAACATTTCTGCTCCAGGGGAATTAGGAGTATGACCAAGATAAGGAAGAATATCAGTGGGAGGGAAATGGAGGAAAGAGTTCTGATGGGACTGAGAACCATGACCCCTTCCTACCCTTCCCCCCACCCCACTCTTGCCAGTGGCTAGCTGCCAGATGTGCCTTTACTTTGACCCTTTGTCTCTGTTGGGAGGACCAAAAATGCTTTGGAAAACCTTGTGTTGACTTTGTCAGCTTTGCAAAGTGGAGGGAGGTGGGAAAAACAGGTAAAGTGGGGGGGGGCATGGATTGTGTAGGAAAAATATTTTCCTTGATAAGCTCACAGATAACATCCAAGTTTCAAGTGTCTCCTTAAAATGTCAGGGAAGATGGGACCACGTGCAGGGGGAAATTACACGTATGAATATGGTGGGCCTGAATTTAAAGAGGTTAGAAAAAACAAAACTCCATAGAAGTAGAGCTAAAAACACACCTTCTCATAGCTGGTTTTAATTCTGCATCTCAACTGTTCAAAATACTTCTCAGCCTATGGGATGGGCTGTGTTGCCTACTGGGTAGAGTACTGGGCCTGAAGTCAGGAAAACCTGCGTTCAAATCTGACCTCTGAGACTGACCTGAGTTCAAATCCGACCTTTGAGACTTACTAGCTGTGTGACCCTGAGCAAGTCGCTTAACCCCTGTTTGCTTCCATTTCCTCATCTGCAAAATGGGGATAATAAATGCACCTATCTCCCACAGTTGTTGTAAAGATCAAATTAGATAATATTTGTGAGTGTTACATTCTGTTGGGGGCAACATTTAAACAAATCAAGAAAGTTCTGTTGAGGACAAGAGGGAGCTATGACCAGGAAAGGGTCCCTGTAGTTGATTCCTGAAGGAAGCTAAGGTTCTAAGTAAATGAGTGCCCCAGGCACAGGGCAGCCTGTGCAAAGGAAGGGTATGAGGCAGGCTCTGGAATGGAGGATTCAGACCGCGGCAAGCTGGCCCGCCACGTTGGCTGGAACACAAAGCATGTGAGTTCCCGAGAGGCCCAAGGGCCTGGGCTGGAGAGTCTGGGCTTTGTTCCGTCAACAATGCAGAAGGAATCAGGGCCCGGTGGTCTGAGCCCAACATCAGACACTCTTTCACCTGGACCGGGATGCTCATTATCATACTATAGAAAAGTAAATGAAATGACCTATTTTGTTATGAAAGGCACGATGGGACGGGTTTGGGTTCCAATCCAGACCTTGCTACTCATCCGCAGTAGCAGGGTTACCCAATCCAATTTTCTTTAGGATTTCATCTTGGGAAACAAACCAGAAAAACATGGCTCTTTACATCCCAGAACAGGATTACTGCTTTGAAATCGAGAGGGACTCTGGCTAAGTCTTTTCTCCTTTCTGTGTCTGTTTCCTCATCTAGAAAAGGGGAC